AGTAGAAACCTTAAATGTGCCTTAAGTAGCTTTTCAGAAGGGAAGGGATGCTTATTAGTGTCACGAAGGTCTATTTCAAAATTCAAAACCAGTAACTGAGCCTCGGCATCATCTTTTACATTGAGCTGGGCACTCGTGACCAACATGATAGGGGTTTGTAGCAATACATGCGTTATGAAACTGTTGATAGACCTTGTCGAGGCATCAGGAATGTTTCACTGAAGGTTTGCTTTCTCTTGGTGCTGTCAGTACGAACAGCTGCAGAGCACTGCTGGAAGGCATGGGGACAGCCTCCGCAACACCAAGATAGAGATCCAGGAGTTGACCAGGAACATCCAGAGGCTGCGGGCTGAGATTGAGAATGTGAAGAAGCAGGTACGGGTTGGCTAATGTCTTATGGGATGCTGGAACCAGCTTGGATCAGGAACGACCATGCATGGGGCAGAAATGGTTTGATCAACCAATGCTTGTTCACTTCATGTAAATGTTACCCTTTTTTTCCCCTTGAGTCCTCCATTGGGGCTTGAGGGCTGATCCTGAGTGACCAAATGAGATCTGAGAAAGTGCCTTTTTTTACCCCTCAGAACCAGCAGCTGCAGGCAGCTATTGCTGAGGCTGAGGAGCGGGGTGAGATGGCCCTGAAGGATGCCAGGAGGAAACTGGAAGAGCTGGAATGTGCCCTGACCAAAGACAAGGAGGAACTGGCTCGCTTGCTGAAGGAGTACCAGGAGCTGCTGAACACCAAGATTGCCCTGGACGTGGAGATCGCCATGTACAGGAAGCTGCTGGAGGGAGAGGAGAACAGGTACATTTCTTCGTATCTATTTGACTAAATTCTTCACAGATTTTACTACGTGTGGGCAAAATCTTTGCATGCACTCTAAAGATAAGTTTCATATCAACCACGCTGTAAATAATAGCCTCAAGTATTTTTTCCACATTTCTTATAAGAAAGTTAAGTTCAAGGTTGGTCATTTGTTTTAAAGAATAATTGGGAAATTCAGAAAGAATAGAGAATATATACCTTGTAAATGAAAGGGAAATTGTCAGGTGAAGAAATGTGCACTTCCCGTAGGATTAACTGGTCCTGTTTTCCCTCACAGGCTGTGCAATGATGGCATGTCCAACGTCAATGTCTGTAAGTATCAGTGTCCTTGTGAAGCGGTAGCAGACCACATCTTTTTGGAGCTACAGTCTGCCAGTGGACAACATGCACGTAACCTGTGCTTCTCTTCCAGCTGTGGTAGGCAGGACCACCATCACTGGAGGCAGAGGAGGCATGGGAGGAGGAATGGGAGGAGGCGTGTGTGGAGTAGGAGGAGGCTTCGGAGGTGGAAGCATGGGCGGCAGCTGTGGAATAGGAGGAGGAGTGTACGGCGGTGGCTTCTCTTCTGGAAGTGGGAGGATCTGCGGCTCTGGAGGTGGCGGCTACAGCTCTGGTGGGGGATCGTCCTCCGTACGGAGATGTGTCACGACCACCTCCGTCAAATCTTCAGGAGTGAGGTTCTGAGCCCTGAAGCCAGGTTGGAAAAGGAAAGAAGCCTCTCCTCTCTTCTCCCAGCAGCAGCCCAGCCTCCTTGAATCCAGCTCCGGTGTCCTGCAATGAAACGAACTGTGTCCCTCACGGCCCACCACGTACCGGCTCCTCTGCCTGGCTTGGTCCTAGCAAGGCAGTCTCGTGGCAACGCCGCGTCCCGTTAGCAGCCTTGGCGAGCCGCTCGTTAGCCCCAAGCCCAGTGATGAAATAACCACCTGAACAAAGAAACGCCTCACCTGTGGAAGCCCAGCACGGAGAGCTGATTTACGGGAGGGAAACGCTCTGCCCTTCTTGCGTGTTGTACATTTCTGGCTGCCTCGTGGCAAACGTGTATAGAGCTCCTCTTTCCTCCTCTGTCCTCATGTCCCGTCCTCGATGGCCATATCCCTGGGGTGCTTCTGCATGCAGTACATCCTGCCGCTTCCATTCACTAGCCTTTGGGGTCAGGGTAGAGGTGGGGCAGGCGGGACTTGTCCCTTGGCAGAGCTGGGAGGGAGCATCTTCTCGGCTGGTGGCCAGAGGGAATCATTGCCCCGGGGTGCAGCACCTGGGCAGCTTTGCTCACCTGGTAGCCCCAGGTGTGCTGCAAGCAGGAGCTCTCTCTGGAGCACTGGCATCCACCTCCCCTTGTCCTTGCTCTCCATGATGCCTGGTAACACCTCAGGCACACGTGGATTTTGTCGAAGGAGAACAAAGCTTGCTCTTCAGCACCAGGTCCCCTGTGACATGGAACGAGATGTACTGTCCCCACCTCCCTTCCTCTTCTGTTTGTGGTATGTCCTCCTTCCTCGGGATGTTGCCATTCTCAATAAATTGCAGAGAACATTCATGACGTCTTTGTCTCGTTGCTTTGGAAGCCGCTTCCAGGCAAGGTGGTTTTAGCAGTTAGGGAAGCACCTTGGTGGGGAGGGGTGGGCTGGTCTCCTGCTCAGTGTGCCGTGACTGTGCTTTGAGGGAACTCAGTGGGTGTGTGGAGAGAGGCAGGCAAGCGTCCAAGCATGGGTGATGCCTCCTGACTCTTGTCAGCCATTGCAATGTCTGAAAGCACAAGCCCGTACCTAGCGTGGGGGGGTTCTGGATGCTCCACTCAAGCAATGTGCAGCAATTTGGACGAGGCCGGAGCACCCTCGTAGCATTCGTGGCTTGGCCGTTGTACCAGCCAACGCAGCTGACAGCCCACTCACAACATTCCCTTCTGATCATCTCCAGGTGGAGCAGACTTTGATCTGTGTTAGGGGAAGAAGATGGCAGCGGTCTTGTGGACAGAGGTGCGAGGACAGCTTTACAGCTGCCTGTAAGCATGGATATGGACGCTGGCCAAGCACCTACCCACCGGTGTGCAGGCAGGCTGTGGCCAGGCAGGCTGCACAGCTCGGCACCCTACGAGCACCACGACTGCTTGAGGGCCACTGACTCCTCCTCCCCTTCACTGGCCAGCAGGAGGAACACAAAGGGCTGGGAAGGCAAGATTCACCCCAAAACCGTGGGCACACATCAGCTCCCTCAAAAGTTGATCAGTGGTCCCAGGGTCTCCTCTTCATTTTGAGAGCAAGAGGGAGAGGTTTGGTCCACCTCGAGGAGGGGGTATGGGAGAAGAATGCTCATGTGTTTGATCTGCACCATGCTTTGGTTCCTCCACCGCAAGCAGAGATCAAAGAGACAGAAACCGCTTTCAGTAGTGGTTTAGGAGTCCCACAACAACCTGCTGTGAGCCACCAGTGTCCCCGTAGCAGGTCAGGAAGCTGTGGACCTAGCAAAAGGCCCGGCAAGGCAGCAGGGAGCGGTTATGGAAGAGGGCCTTGCACTCCCTGTGAGGCTCAGCAGCAGTGTGCTAGAGCTGGGGAGCGCGGCTGGGTTTGGCCCAGAGAGAAGACGATGAGAAGGCAATGCCTCTGAGAAGCTGGGGCTGTGCCAAGAGCACTTTGGGCTTTGGCTTGGGGCAAGAGTCACCTGTTTTTGTTCACAGTTTTAAGACTCTGTTTCTTCTCAGCTTTAAAATCTGAAACGCGGCGTTGTAGGCATCGTTGTGAGGAGTCATTGCGACATCGTCCTCTAAGCTGCCAGAAGCTCTTTGCTGTCTGAGACCTGAAGCTGCAGCCTGGCTTGGTCTCCATCGACATTTTCTGCAGAGTTCACATTTTGCCCGGTGTTGATGATTTTGCTGTGCACAGCTCCTTGCGTAAGATATCTGAAGGAACGGCTGGAGCCCGGGCATGGTATTTAGTCTTACCTGGAGGAGGCTGCAGTGACTCCAGGTTTGGTATCATCTTCACATCTTGTCTGAAGACGTCAGAGTGACTCAATCTGGGCGTCTTATCTGCCTGTGCTGAATGTGGTCAGCATCCAGGCATTTGGCTGACTTGACAGATCTTCCCCCTCGTCATGGAGCCGCCGCGTGGGATGTTACAACCATTCCATGCTGCCTACCGAGAAAGGCAGCTACCGGGCGTTTGGCAATCTGGAAGGAGGCTGTGAGAGGAGACGACCTCTTTTCTTGGACGGGAAACCGAGCCACCCTCCACCTCCCTGCCACTGCTCATCCTGAGCGAGTGCACTGGACTGCAGAATGATCTGGAGAACTTAACTCTCTGCCCTGGGGATAACAACTGGGAAACAAGACCCTCTTCACTCAAGCTGCTTTTGAACGGGAAGGGGTCCCCTCCCTGCTGTAGGCATGGCTGCCCCCTCTCCAGCTGCTACTTGTTGCAGTGGGCAGGTCACCCACATCTGGGGAACTCATGGCCAACCATGACTTGATTCCCTCAAGAGTAGGATAGCTTTTGGCCAACCGTGACTTGTCTCGCTCAAGGCTAGGATAGCCTTTGGCCAACTGTGACTTGTGTCCTTCAAGGGCAGTATAGCTCTTGGCCAACCATGACTTGAGTCCCTCAAGCACAATGTTCTCCACTCCTCTACACCCCGTTCCGTGAAGAGACTGTGGTGTCAAGCAGGCTCTGTCTCAGTGACAGGCACTGGCATTTATGTTTCTGACTCCTCTGGTGGCTTTTGAAAGTGATTCTCTGGGCTGGTTTTTCAAAAGCTTTGAATTGTCTGTGGCTGCAGGCCACATCGTCACACTTTCAAACTACATTTAGTTGCACAAGTCTTACGGATGATTGCAAAAATTCAAAGACCCATATATATTCCACTTCAGAAGCTTAAATATAGTTCAATATTGGTTTGCTCAAATGCTTAGAAGGCGTTAAAATAGATTTCTTTTGACATTCATTGATGATTTTCAGGCACTAAGTGCTAGGGAAATACTGGGTTTTTCTTAAATTTCACACAAGTAGGTAAAGCTTATATTTGATTAATGAGACCCAGACAACATCTGCAAGATGTCTTTCAGGTGAATTTCCTATTTCACAGCCAGATAACTTGTGCATGAAATTAAACATCATTGTTTTCTAGTGTGAAGCAGCAGCTGTTTTCTTAAAAATACATTTTTCTACAGTGAGTTTTGTCAGCACCCCTTCTCTGCCCCACCTCAGTTTTACTGTGGTCAAAGATGTGGCCGAAGATGTCCCACCTCTTACAGCACACTTCCTTTGCAGCAGTACTTTAAATGTTATTACTTAAGAAACCATCAGAGTTGCTTCTATCTTTTAGTTGCCACTTCAAAACAATTAAGTATGATGAACTCAACCCGATTATTTGCCTAGCAACTTCAGTAAAAAAGAAAACATTTTAGCAAGTCACTGCTATCGCTGCCTGCGTTTCTCTGCTATTTGTCTGTTTTCAGTCATCATTACCCCAGTCAGTGTCTGAGGCTCCGTTCAGCCCTCTGCAGGTCTGGCAGCCCCTGTGGCCATCTGAAAAGCACCAGGAAGGAGCTTGGCCATCCTTGTTCTCTTGCTCATTCTGCTCTGGTGCTCAGCGTCTCAGTACCTGGCTGTCTGAGACTCTGGGAGACACATTTTGCAGGAATGGCTGTCCCATCCCAACTGATGGTCCGAGGAGAGGAACCAGGCACCCACCTTTCTGGATTAAAAAAAAATACCAACTGCTGTTAAATGTTAACGCGTGGTATTCTTGCTCTACAATGGGAAACTGCCTCTTGGAAAGCCTTCAGTAATTTTCCACTTCAGAATGAGATTTGGGGTGTGCTTGGGGAACTGTGAAAGTCTCATTCTAGTTGGTTTTCACCAGAATGCTTGCCTGACGTTGAGCGTCAGTGCAAAAGATCCGGAACCAGACAAACTGCGGAATCATTAAGAAAGCACAGAAAGGTGGGAGGAGGGAAGAACATGACTACATCACTATAAAACATAGTTTTCCAGATGCCACAAAGATATGAGAGTCCACTTACTCATGGAGACCTGTTTCAATGCTCTTGCTCTTTTATTCTCTTCTGCATTGCAAAGCGTATTTCTGGGTGGAGTCAACAATTTGGCAAAAATCTGTTAACCGCACCAAGCTGATGAAGACAGTAAATTTGTTTCCTCTTCACGCCCTTGTAGACCCAGCCCACCTCCAGAAATAGATAAAAGAGAATGCCTGAAGCTGTGGAGCCAGAGAAGACTGTGCACACTTCTCTCTGCGTTCATCCCTCAGCAGCACAGCTCTGTTGGTCTTCCTGCTCTCCTCAACACCTCTTGGAAGAAACAGCCATGTCTCGGCAGTCGATCTGCAGAAGCTTTGGAGGCGGAAGCAAAAGGGGATACAGCTCTTGCTCTGCCATTGGTGGTGGCTTCGGAGGAAGCGGGGGCAGAAGCAGGATCAGCTATAGCTCGTTCTCCACGTCCAGGGGAATTGGAGGCGGTGGATATTGTGGAGGTTTTAGCAGCAGGAGCCTCCACAACCTGGGTGGCAGCGGAAGAATTTCCATGGGTGGCTCTTATGGCGGTGGATACGGATGTAGAATTGGTGGCTTTGGTGGAGGCTATGGAGGAGGATTTGGCAGCATTGGAGGAGGTATCATTGGTGGAGGAATAGGCAGCTTTGGTGGTCCTGTGAGAGGTGGTCCTGGGTTCCCTGCAGGCATCCAACCGGTGCAGGTTGACCCAACCCTCCTGCGGCCAGTCCATGTTGACATTGATCCTCAGATCCAACAAGTGAAGTGCCAGGAGAAGGAACAGATCAAGACCCTTAACAATCAGTTTGCCTCTTTCATTGACAAGGTGAGAGGCTGGAACTGTATTTTCTTGGGATGGGTACTCTGAGGAACTTTCCTGTGCTGTGGAGAGGGAAATTCTGTCCTTCTCAGCTCAGTGTTGGCAGGTCTGGAAGGCTGGCAGTGCTATCACTGAGTCTTCCTAAGAAAATGTAAAAATTTTACATCCACAGGGAAAAAAAAAGACTTTCTCTAGGTTTGGTTGGTCCAAATTCGTCTTAGCTTTTCTCTGTAGTGTTCTCTGTGCAGTCAGGCCAAAGTGATCATGATATACTTGGTTATAATAAGCAGTTCTATAAGTCTGCACTTTCTGAAGGATAGTTTCTTCTTGAGAAACTTAGAATGTAGGAATGAACTTTCAATTCATTCCTGACTGTTCCTTATCTAAGTTCAAGTACAGATGAGTATTCTTTAGACTGTCTGCACCGGCAGAACACTGATTATAAAAGTGCTTTGTCTTTTTTTAAATATTGGACATATATATAAATACTTACTGTATCTGATAAGAGGAACATTCTCTGCTACTGAAACATATGGGATTTCATTCATTGGAAGGTGAAAAATGAACTGATTCTTCTGCAGATTAATGTGGGTCAAAATTCCCAATTGGAAATGATAATAATCTGCAAACCTGGAATGTAATCAATCCAAAAGATAATCAAAAATGGAATCAGAAATGTAGGAGGAGAAAAGAGGACAAATGCAAGGATATATGAAAAACAACGACAAAGAATGGAGGAATCTTCCTCTTGGAAAACTGTCTTTGAACTAGCTATGGTCCTGTTGGGGATTCGGTAAATGATTCCCTTGCTGTCCCAAATAATTGGGAGGTATGACTAGTGTGATGTCTCCCCTGGTGAACATCTCACACGCACCTCTGTGGGCTTTCAGGTCCGTTTCCTGGAGCAACAGAACAAGGTCCTCTCCACCAAGTGGGAGCTCCTCCAGCAGCAAGGGCCTTCAGGGCCGAGGAAGAACCTCGATGTCATCTTTGAAAATTACATCCAGAACCTGAGGAGGAAGCTGGAATCTCTCCTGTCACAGAGGGGACAGTTGGAGTCAGAGCTGCAGAACATGCGGCAGTACGTGGAGGAGTACAAAACCAAGTAAGTGCACCCTCAGCCAGGAGAGCTGAGCCAGCTGGGAGATGTCCACACTGTCTTCCCTGTGCTCTGGAGCCCGTTAGAAGTGGGACCGTGGTATCCACAGAGGCAAGGGGGGTTCCACCGCTTGGCTGAGGAACAGTCCAAGAGACTCGTCTCATCTTGTCCCCTTCAACAGGTACGAAGACGAAATCAACAGGCGCACCGCTGCTGAGAACGAGTTTGTGGTGCTCAAGAAGGTGAGTCACAGAGGCACCAGGAGAGAGGGGG